TTTCTTTTGGGACTTTGTGTGCACACACAAAGTATAAGCTCATGAGAACGTGTAGGGCTGTAGCAGCTCTACATGCATGAAGGTGTTGTTGGGGGGAAGGTTCAGCCCGTTATCTAGGCTGCAGCGTTTCCTGCACTAATTGCTAGAAGCTCAAATATTTGTGCTCCCCAAGAATGCTGTTGTGACAAGTCCTTCCACACCTGTTTATGCGTGACAGCATAAGAAAAAAAAAAAAAAAGGCCACAAATTGAAGTTTGCGTGACAGCATAAGAAAAAAAAAAATGGCCACAAATTGGAGAACAGAAGAATAATCATTTTCAATAAAAATAATTTCTAGCAAAATTGAGGCAGATCATCAGATCGTCATTCCAATCTTTCCTTCTACTAGCCATGTTTGTAAGAATTAGTCCATGAAAAAGCAGCATACTGAGCAAACTGTCATAATATTTATCATAGACTAAGAGATGATGTACTAGGTCACCAGACCTGATACCTACTGAGTTACTGGCTCCATCGCAAGGCAGGTTTCATTTCTCTTTCTGGAAAGTCTAGATATTTCAAAGTCTTCTTGACAAAAATGGAGGAGTGGGGAGGGTAGAGGACGCAGTGAGAACAACTATAATGCCGCCTGCACGAACAGGTAGCAGTTTTTTGAGGAGACAGTCTGTGGCAGCCCTTCAAAGGTAAGTAGAATGACTTACCGCAGGGAAAGAGGTTACCGTGGTGAAGGTACAGGCAAGACGACATGTCTTTGCCCTTCTCCAGCCGGGGCCGTAGGAAACGCGGGGCTGTAGCGATGGGCAGAGCCCGGGCTGGGGTCCCTGCAGGCGGCCAGAGGGACAATCCAGTATTGTTTGTACCATCCGCTGCTCCCCTTTGGAAATGCTAACGAGGTTACTGAGCGCCTCCTTTGATGTCCTGATAGGTGCTATTAGATAGTCAATTAGGCATCAATGAGATCGATTGTTTCGAAATAGATGCTCTTATGTGTGAAGTAACCGAGAACACTAACGGGGCCATCACTCGGCCGCTCCTTTGCCCACAGGGACAATGCGGGCAAACACACAATCAATGACAAACACACAATCAATGACAAACACACAATCAATGGCAAACGCTCCCGCGCCGCTCGGCAGCTCTGCTCCCCCGGCTCCCCCGCCCCCCCCGCCGCAGGTTCAGATACTCCTGTTCAGCCACTGCGGGACCCAACAGGCGCTTTGCACTGAAAACAGTTTGTCGGGGAAATCTCACTCAGGTCTTTGCGCAACTAACGCACAAAGCGCCCAGATAAGTTAAGCACAGGTTCGCTCGAAACAACGTAGTGCCTGGATTCCCGTACACACCGGCAGCGCGTTGCCCGAGGACTTGTGGCACCTCCACAGCTGGTCAGAGTTGCCCAAGCAGAATAACTAAGCACTGAAATAAGAATTAAAGCACTTAACCTCCCTAAACACCAGAGCTGCCGGGATTAGGTGCCCGCTATTTACCACGGGAAGGCAGTAATAAGTCGAGGTTTAGATAGTTTAAGAAAGAACTACAAAGGAGAAGTAGTAAAGTCTGCACAAGGAACAAGTCGAGACCAAGAATTCTCTCCCCTTTCTTCCTGCCCCCGCTTCGGTGGGATTTATCAAGCTAATTGTTATCTAATTGCTGTCCATTATCTCTTTCTTTGATACGCAATTAGATGTAATGGCCTGCCAGTGCGAGATCTCTCCCGATTAGCACACAACGCCGAATAACTTCACCTGGTTTGGAAAGAGGACCCTGGAATGGCTCCACCGTGTCTGGGGGCTGCGGGGGGGGAGGGTGCGGGAAATACTCCGACCCTATTCCCACTCCCTTGTTGGCTGCTCTTGCCAAATTGGGACAGGCTTTAACACGAGAGGGCTGCAGACATCTCCCTGCCGTTACCACCGGGCTAATTCAATCACGTCTCTCCCCCTCCGCGCACACACTACAGGGGAGAAAGGCTTTGAAGTTCGCGCTCTGGAGATTTTCCCCTCCCACCCCCTTTTCCTCCCCGGGGACCCCCGTTTCCAGGTCACCCAGGCTCTTCCTCGAGGTGGCCTCCTCCCGGAGCCGCCAGCCCGGGGGCTGCAGCAGTCCCACCGCACAGGCGTTAACCTGCTCCTCGCCAGCTGATCCCCTCGGCTGTTCCCTCTGGAGCTGACTCCCAGACAAAGCTTTGTCCTGCCGGAGAGCATTCCCAGCCCCATGGCTATGGCGATGCGATTACAGCTACAAAGGGGAGCGCTGGAAACGGGGGGGCTCAGCCGCGCTGGTGGAGCGAGCCGGGAGGCTGCTGGCCCTCTGGCTAAGGGGAGTGCTGGAAACGTGGGGTTCAGCCGCGCTGGTGGAGCGAGCCGGGAGGCTGCTGGCCCTCTGGCTAACGCCGGCCCTGCGGCGTGCAGGGACCCCTGCACTAATGGGGTAAAACACAGCGGATGAGAACCTCAAAATAGCCTCTCCTTATGAGGAGAGGCTGAGGGAGCTGGGGGTGTTCAGCCTGGAGAAGAGGAGGCTGAGGGGAGACCTTCTTGCTCTCTCCAACTCCCTGAAAGGAGGGTGTAGAGAGGTGGGGGTCGGTCTCTTTTCTCAAGTCACAGGCGACAGGACAAGAGGAAATGGCCTCGAGTTGCGCCAGGGGAGGTTCAGGCTGGATATTAGGAAAGATTTTTTCACTGAAAGGGTTATCAGACATTGGACTGGGCTGCCCAGGGAGGTGGTTGAGGCCCCATCCCTGGAGGTGTTCAAAAGACGGGTTGATGTAGTGCTGGGAGGTATGGTTTAGTGATGATGCTCCTTGAAAATCGCGATGCTACATCGTTACGTGTTGTCCCGCAGCCCCGATTGCCTCTGGCTCGCTCTAAACTTTTGGAGGGAGGGGGAACCGCTTCCCACGCTCCTCCGAGCGCCGCTGGACTTGGGCAGACACCTCACCCGGGGCCTTTGGGGACCTCGATGAGGTGCACTCCCGCGTCTCCTTTTCCTTATAGGTGCTAATCTGACTCTAAGTCTCCAGGGTTAGGCTGCTGCAGAGAGGAGGTGCGCACGGCTGTGCAACAAGGGCCCACTGTCAAAAGCCGGAAAAAAAAAAAATTTTTTTCTTTTTTTTTTTGTGTTTTTTTTTTTTTTTTGCCAAAAAAAGAGAACAAAAAAGGAGGGGTTTTTTTTTTTTTTTTTTTTTTTTTTTTTTTTTTTTTTGTACGGGGTGAGCAAAGCATTTATAGGAAAGATGGGTTCTGCCTCTGTGGCCATACAGGATTATAAGGGGATCACCCAACCCCTCTGCCACTACCTCCTTCCAGACGGGTCTCACGCTTAAGACCTTTTTTCTTCCCCCGGTAAACTGTGTATTTATTGGCCTTCATTGTTTTTCTATTTTAAAAATGTCACTGCGTTAGAGCAAAGAAAATAGTCACCATTGCAGACGTCTTTCCAAAAACATCCCAGTTCCCTAATGACATTTGAAAGAGTCAGAGAATTGCAGACTGGTTTATTTTTTTTTTCCTTCGAGTTGATGTAGCCGTTCAGTAATACCTGACTTGGAGAAATAAACCTCCCTTCAATCGGAATTTTTATCATGTGTCAACAAATTTTCTTAATCCCAAATGCATCATATTCATGATCTTATCAAGATTGATAGCAGCTGAGCTCTTATTAGTTTTCTGAAACTGTAGCATTAGAACCACATTAGTTGTGCAATTCCAAGCAAATACTAATATCTCGAAAGGCTAGGAAAATACAGCATGGGTGACAAAATAATAACGAAGCTTCCAAAAGTGACAGCTACTCAGAAAATCGAAGGCCATATCCTTCAACAGAATGCTGGAAAAAAAAAAAAAAAAAAAAAAAAAAAGCATAATGTTGCTTTTTACCAGGGAAGTGTACTCAAGTGGCAGTTTGGCTGCTGTATATGAAAGAAAGTAGGTGTGTTGAAGGATGTCTGACAGAACCTTCAGACCATTCATGACATGAGCCCAGATTACAAGTCTTCTAATAACCGTTGAGATCAACACTAGTGTGGTGAAAATTTTTATTGCTCTTTTCATGTTAGTTGACAATTGACTTTGAAAGATTTATGGCAAATTATATCAGTCAAGGACTCAGGGCCCTTTATCTCACCTGAAATCGACCATTTTGATCTTAAAATTTTCTAGAGTAGTATTCAAATAATAATAGTAATTAAAAAGTGCATAGCACAATGGTAACAACTCCACTACCATTTAAGGGAAACAGCTTTGGAATGTTGCATTTCTTCTGATAATCACCCTCATACCCCCTTAGGTGCACGTGAGATACTGAGGTTTCAAGGCTAGATTCTTTCCAAGATCTGTTTAGTACTCATCAACTGAAGCCACACAAGAAAGCGGGAAGATACATTTACATATTTATTTAGAAAGTAAATTTTTACATCTTAAAATTATATTCTATATGTTATTTAAAGAGCTCCAACAGAAAGCATCTATTCTGCTGCGTTAGCAAGCCCAATATTAAGTGTTAGTAACAGGTGCATCCACACATTTGGATAAAAGCAGTTCCAAGGGCCACCTAGGAAGTGGCTGAAGGGTTTGGATACCTGCTTTAGAGGACAAGGACATTCATGCTTTTCTACACTCACCCTCAGTAAATTGCAGGGAAGCAGGACAGCTCTGGAGAGTAAGGGATGTATGCTTCCTTTAAGGAAGAGGAGCTCTCTTTTAGGGCAGGATAAATAGCTCTACAATCCTTGTGGAAGGAATTCACATGAAAGCTGGAAAAACTTTTGGTTTATTTAAAGATAACATTTATATTAGTGTTTGCCCCACTGTGTTTTTATCTCACATGGTTGCCTATAAATGCAGGGGTCTGAAGTCCATGATGCAGATCAAGATTTTCCAGAGTGTCTCTGTAAAATCCGTTGCTCAGCGCTGCATCGTAACCAGGCAGTTACAGACAAGGGCAGTCCAGACAGTTATCAGTAGTGCAAATCCTTCTTAGTCATAGTCCGTATTAGAGGGTCAGACACCCAGCAAGAAAGCTCTGGGGTTCCTGTACCCCACAAAGTGGGGTGCCACCCAGAAGCCCACGGGCTGTGCCCTGCAGGCGCTGCTGAGTTCCAGGGTGGGCGCTGGCAGCGCAGCCAAGGTGAAGCCCCCGGAGGGGGACCCTTCCTGGGGCAGAGGTGGCGGCCGGGCCACGTAGGTGATCGGCAGGGGCACCACGCTGCTCTGCGGTCCGTAAGGAGGCGGGGGGCTGCAGAACGGCTCCATCCTCAGCTCCTGCAGCTGCCGCTTGAGCTTCATCCGCCGGTTCTGAAACCAGGTTTTGATCTGGGGGAAAAGGGAGGCGGGAAGGGGGTAGAGGAGGTTACCCCCGCCCGTGCCATGGCCCACGCTCAGGCCGCGGCCCGCGGACCCCGGCGATGCCGAATTTGCCCGAATTTGCCCGAATTCGGCATCACCGGCCCCCCCGCTCACCTGCAGCTCGGAGAGCCCCATGCTGCCCGCCAGGCGGCGGCGCTCTGCCGCGCCCAGGTAGCGCTGCCGGCGGAAGGAGCTCTCCAGGGTGCTGAGCTGCTCGGCGCTGAAGGCCGTGCGCAGCCGCCGCCCCCCGGCCCTGCCGCCCGGCTCCTCGGGGCCCGCGCCGTCGAGACCCCCCTCCGGCGGGGGCTGCTCCGCTCCCCGCGCCTGCTCGCCCGCCCCTGGGGAGAGGGAGAGAGAGGTCAGACGTGCCCGAGAACGGTGTGGGGGTGTCCGCCCGCCTCCTTCACCCCGGGGCAGCCGTCGCTCTGTCGGTCCTCGGTCAGGCCCTGGGGGCGGTTCGGGGCCCGTCTGTCCTCCCCCTCCCAGCGCAGGAGCACCGAGGTGCCCCCGACGGCCCTGGGGAGACCGCGGTTACCTGCAGCGGGGGGGGTCGCTAAAAGGTCCCGGTTCCTGCCGCCCGTCCCTGCCCGCGGGCCGGTGGGCTGCTCCTCGCTCCGCTCGCTCAAGCCAGGGCTGGAGCCGGGCCGGTGGCCCAGGGCCGCCGAAGATGGTCGGTGCGGGAAGCCCTCGGTGGGGCTCTTGAGGGCCTGGCTGCTCTGGGACAACCACTCCACAGAGAAAGGGGGCTTGGTCATCCTGTCTTGTTTCGGAGATCCCGGGACGGAGGATGTCGGGGAGCATGGCTCCTCCTTTATACCGCACGTCCAGGGGGAAAACGTTGTTTGTGTAAATACACATCAAAGGGCCAGATAAGTATCATCTAATTGCCATCGGTCCCCCCCCAACAAAAGATACCGTTCACACATTGCCACAGCTCGCGGAGGCTCGGCTCCGCCGTGTCTGCCCCCGGAGGAGTTCACTCCGCCGTCAGTGATTTACAGCTCTTGTTACATCCCATCCCGATGCAAATGGCATTTATAGAGCTGAGTGGCCTCAAACGGCGCTGGGGAATTCACCCCCGGGGGAGGGCACAGGGACCAGCATCCCCGGACGCTGGCGGGAGGCGGGACGCTGCTTCTCCTGATCCCCCTACCCCTGAAATTGGCTTTTTTATTCCTTTTCAAGCAGAAGATCCACTGTCTAAAGAGATCTTCTCAAGCCTGCTCCTTTCTGGGCTGAGCACCGCGCTTCCAAGACAAGCAAGTGGATAAACTCACTCGTTGCATTCTCCTGGGACTGCAGCATCAGGTTAAAAGCACCAGGCATGGGATGAGGGGTTTGGAAGAGAAGGTTGTGAAACAGAAAAAGGTAAAGGTCAAGGCTGTTCAGTTATACCAATCGGCTGGCTTCTGGCTGCTTATATAAAGTATATTTTCTGGACTAAAGAAGCAAAAAAAGAATTAACATTCTGCTGAGGTTACAGAATTCGTGTTTATATCTTCCCTCCCAGATCTCTCTGCAGGTCACACAGGTTTCTCTGCTATCTTACTCTCCCTATCTTTCCTCTTATTACCTTCAGCATGGCTTTCAGTAGTGTTCCCATTTCGTCTTTGGGTTTTTTGTGCACCAGAAACACTTGGCTGCTGCAGTAATTCCCCCGTAATGTATTGCCAGAAGGTTCCTAGTGTTTTATGGGCAGTTTTTCACCGTAGGGTACCCATGAATTCCCTCCCCTTTCTATCCCCCCCCCCTCTTTGCAAGAACAGGACTACTGCACCATTGAAAATGCTTATCACACCCCTGCTTGGCATCAGTTTGCCTCCAGAAATCATGACTGTGTGTCTGATTTATCTGTCCTTGTTCTTATTTTCTGCTTTACACTCATCCTCTACCACTTACACACAAGACCCAGTGTCTATTTATCTTGTGACTTGCTCTGTTATTCTGCCACTCCTGCTAGATTTCTCAGCATTCATTCTTCTGTGATCACAGTTAATTTAACCACGCCACTGACTGTTTCTTAGGCTGTCAGTGAGGCTTGAAGACTGAACTCCTCCTATTTAATTATTTAGCTTATATCTAAATTTATCAATGTGTATATATATATTCTTTATATTAATACACTAAAATGTTTTACTCAAACCTCTTCATCTGTCTTTCCATAAAACCTACATTTCAGCTCCTGTCCACTCAAAATAAGGTTGCTATAGCAAATTGCTTCATTGAATGATGTTGACCTGTGAGCCCATTCTAAGCGATCTCTCCTTGCTTGCTCATTTTCATGGCATAGCCTGAGTCCTCCTCTGTTCTACCAGTGATGCCACTGTTCAAGAGTTTAATTGTCTCTGACCAATAGAAACAGAAATGCCTTTCAGTCATCTTTATTTAAAGGTGGCTAATAACTGATTTAGAATCTCTGGGTGCTACCACAACCAGACATGACTGTAGTCCTCCTGGAGCCCTTTGTTTCTGGTCTGTGTAAGTAGGAATTGACTCTGAAGCCTGCACTACAGCAATAACCTGTGCCCACTAAAAAAGCTTCCTGGAGAAAATCAAGGGAACTGTTCAAATGCCTAAATAAACTTCCTGGAGGAAACTAAGGGAACTGGTATAAAAATGTCTGAGGTATTAATGCCTCCTGTACATCCTTTACATGCCTAAAAAAGCCTACAAACATCTCTAACATGGACAAAGCCCTGCAGGACACATGTATTTGTGGTGGGGTTTTTGTTTGTTGGTTGGTTTTTTTCACTGTATGAATGTGTTTCCTATCTAATTACTTAAAACCTCATCCATTTATCCTTCCCAAGCACTTTCTGATTAACAATGGGACATTTACAGAGTTTACTTGATTAAAATGTACATGATTTGCTTTAAATTTCCTGTTTTATAAAAAAATCCACCCCACCCCCCTTTCCCTGCCCCAGCCTGAATATCCCAAGCACAGGTTCTTAACTGTTCTTTTCAGTAGGTATCTGTGAGGACTACGCCCACCACAAACCTGAGGAAATTTTTTAAAGTAGCAGAGCTTCTGAGGATGAGCCAGTTCTGGTGCCAACATATTTTCCAGAGCAGACCAAGTAGGCAGGAGATGGGAAGGAGACATACAGGAATCTGCTCTGCTGAGTTACTAAATGACAAGTCCTGTGGGTCAGCTGTATTTAACGTGTGGGCTGGAAGCAGCCTCTCCAGTCAGAAGTGGTGATATTAGTGCTATTGCACGCCTGGAGAATCCTGCCAAACCTGTGATGCAGTCAGGCAAAATGCCTTTCTCGAGGACTAAATTTTCATGAACGTTAGAAGAAGGAAATTTTCCTTCAAGTTTCCTTCTCAATTTAAATCTCTCTGACTACTTTAACAGCATTCTGCATCACAGACAGGGCAAGATCCCATGCCAGGGAGATAAATATGTCCCTTGTGCCCGGAATTATTTCAATTCCTAGTCCCTACATAATATTATCTATGCATATAAAGATAAATAATATATGCCACTTATATATGTATATAAGTTATATATAAGTATGTATCTATATACATTTTTTTAAAGTATAAAGCAGTCTATCTGTATGGCATTATTTTTTTTCCAGCTTTATTTTATGTCAACTAATAAAGGTACTTGGCAAGCTGTTCAATAGGGACAAAAAGAATACATGACATATGATGGTGCTCTAAAAAATAGAAAATCTAGGGTTTTAGCATGTACTGATACATCTGTCACATAGTCGCTTTGCAGATTTTGAGATATTTTCACCATCTGAGCTGCAAATTGCATCTTTACACACTGCTGGTTTATTAATTGCATTTTATTGAGGCAAACGTCACAGCCAAAAAATGGTGTCAAATGTTATTCTCTCAGACACCGCAAATTGATCGCATTGTGCCAAGGTTAAACCAAATCTCATTTCCACTATACTTAAAATGTATAAGTAGTCTGGATAGATGGCAGATGACTTCTGGATGTAATGACTGCTACAATATTTAACAGCTGCTAGTTTAATTTTATCTGAAATTCTTAAGCTGCCTTCTTTCTGTTTCTATGTATTATTCATCAGGTGTTTGTTTGGAAACCTCCTGATAAACTGTGGCTCAGAAATAGCATGTTTAAAATCAAGTAATCTTGCCAAGGTGATGAAAACCTGCTTATGCTAAAGTCCTCGAGAATTAGACAGTAGAGCAGGACCAGATAGAACCTTTCCCTCTGCTGCTACAAGGTGGAGAAAAAGAGCTCAGCCATGCTTACATGACTACCACTAGCAGAAATCTTAAGGTCCATTTACTGAAGATATTGACAATACTTTATGCAGACGTTTGTACAACACATGGTTGCTCTCTCTGGGGAGGCAGCACCTTCCCCATAAAATAAGGACCATCAGCTTCCTGAAGACCAAAGGATTCTGAGGATCATAATGCCAAATGCTAGCACAGGCCAGGCCATTCTGTGGGAATGGAGATGGGAATACTTTAGCATCCAGGGGAATTAAAATGAGTTGAGATTTGTCACCTGACCCCTATATTTCATGTGAGCAGCAGCTGCATTCAAGGAGGCCAAGAAGTGGCATTATAGATGCCTGGCTGGGACAAATGCAAGGCAGCTCTGCAGAAATGTATATACACAAGGCTGAGGAGGTTCTGCAGAACTGGCTGGTCCTGCTTGGATGCCTACCAGGCAGTTGAGAACCAGATATCTTTTGGGAAACAGCCCAGCCTTTGAGAATTAATTGCTGCTCCACGTCTTCCAGCCCAAAGGCCAGCTCTGCCCCAGTAAGCCAGCTCAGGGCCCTTCTTATGGAAACTTTGAAGGAACTGAAGAGAGAGTAACCAAGGGCTGCCAAGTACCTTGGGTTATCCACAGGTAGTGGAGAAAACCGCCACCACTTCACATTGGTACAATGCGGGTACACAAGACCAAAGAAGGGGATTGTCATTTTATTACAGCAGGTGATCCTTTCTCCTAACAGTCGAGTGTCCTGTGAGACTAGGGTAGAGTGAAGATGTGGTCCTTGGGAGTAGCTCAGTGATGACGCAATTCAGAGTAAAAAAAGGCAGTTTATGACCCACAGGAGGAAGCGTGTTCATCCGTGGCCACGCAGGTTTCCTGGTGAAGGTCTGCCTAGTGAAGCAAGGGCTGCTGGTATCTGCTATACAGTTTATATGGTCTTTGCCCTGGCATGTTTATCCAACCATTGTAATTTCTGAGAAATCTCTCCTTGTGACTTGAAAGCATTACAAATGGCCTCTAACCAATCTCTTTACTATCAATTATTATAATCTTTCCTCTTCGACAGAATAAGAGTTACTTTTCCATAAGGAATGAAAAGACCATATGTTCAGAAATACCAAGAGGGCCTGGAATAAACAGAGTGACAATGCAGAGATGAAAATTAAATGGCTCATCACACTTGGAATTGATCTAAATCAACACAGTGCTCAAAATGCCAAGAGCTCCCGTGGCTTTTTACTATAAGGCTATTACCAGCAGCTAAGCAGAATTGGTGAAATGTTTTAAAAAATATATATTCTGCAGTGATGTTATAAATATTTAGAAAGAAAACACTTATGTGTTATGTTTTTAACAGTTCCTTACCCAAATTTAAGCTTATTAAAAAAAATAATATCAAAGTTGATACGAATCAGGACCACATTTAAAACACGTACTGCCACTGTTAGAGAAGCAAGATTCACCAGCAGATTCTTTTTTTTTTTTTCTTTCTTGACTTTTATTAGATGAACTATAATAGTTGGAAAACCAGCCAAGTTTCAGGCATGTAAATCCTTCTTCAGCATTCATTCCTGTCATACTGAGAGAGAGATCTCAGCATGGACACTGCTCAAACAAAACTGCGCAGATGTCTGTAGTTGGTTTAGTTCTGTCGAGACTAGTAACTAGATTTAAAAACTATTAGTTGGAAAGAAACAGCATTAAAAGGGGCTTTAGAAATGGTTTTATTTTCCAAAGTATATAGGGATTAATTTTTAGTTGCATAAATATGCTTTAGGATATGGTTTGTAGTAAAAATATAAATTATCTAGGGATATGAGATGCACCTACAGAGAACAATGTGCATATGCAAATTCACATAAATGTCACTGGTTTTAATAATTGTTCAGATCACTTGGACTAACAATCTGATCAAGACCACAAAATGCCATGCTTAGACACCCTGAAATCTTTTCAAAACCCAACAGGGAGGCTAACTTCACTTTTGAGATCAAGGCCTTTTTCTTTGCCAATCTTTGCTGAAGGATAAGATTTTCATGATGGTTACTCCTAAAGTTACATTTGACAATGTATTAAATATATAAAAAATAATGTATTAAATCAGAAATGTTCCATTATTTTTACTTTTTGTTTCCCATAAATATCTTCTAAAGAAATCTAGCTATACCACGACTGAAGCATTTATCATTCCTGAAAGTAACTTTTCACTTCCAGCTGTTAAAGAAAGAATAATTTTTCCCCTTGATTTTGGAGCATGAGTCAGCAGGAGAATGAGCTATCACAGCTGGCAGCCCTCAGTCAGCTGTCACCCTCTGGTGTATGTCATACAATGCTGCTTTGAAATGTAGCAGCAAAAATATTTTACTGACTCTTTGTTCCCTTAA